TGTTTTCCTGTTTATGTTTTTTTTTACGTTTTTTTCATCATTTTTTTTTTTTTTACTTCGGTCGACTTCTCGAATATATGCAAATCATGTGACCCATGCGCGCGTTATCCACATCTGCTCAAAGAATTTTTTTTAAGCTCGAAAATCGATAACCCTTTTTTCCCTAGTATTTTTTTGACGACGACGACGACGGCTATACGACGATACGCGACAAAGAGACGTTTAAAACGGGGGGTACGTCGTCGGGGTCGCGCATTATTATTTTCGGTATTATTAATTTTTTTCCATTGTTTCTCGGACTTTTTTTTATTATAATTATTTTTTCAACCATTCTCAGTGGGAGACGCTTTTATGGTCCAACACCTCGAGAAGAAAAAAATTGAAATCGAAATCGAAATAACAAAAAAAACCCGTTCACCCTCATCAGTGTCAAAAGTCGTGATAGTTTTTTTTTTATTATTCCTAGACATCGTGGCCGCTGCTAAATCCCAGCCGCCCTTTGGATGTGAATAAAACTTCGTTAAAATTCGTTTTTTTTTTCATCCATCTCGGGAATGAATTAATTTCCGATGAATTTTTTTCCTCGTCCCCTCTCCTCCCTATCTTCCCTCTACCTATCAGTAAGCCTCGTTTGTTTTTTTCAGTCCGTCGACGCTCAATTCATGGCTAAAAAAAATCGTATCGCAATAACGCAATCACCACCCAAATTGCGACTCTTTACCCAATAGCAGCAGCTGTGCGACGTGCACGCGAGGACTGTGATCAGATAATTATTATACGTGACACAATAGTAATATACGCTTAGATCGTCGTACATAATATATCGGGCACATCGTCGGTAGGTACATTCGGCTGCGACAACAGTATTGTATTGTTTTTACAAACGCTAACCCCCTTCCCCACCACCGGTTCAAGGGTTCTGCCACTGGCGGGATTTTTTCTTTTGTACATATTTTTTCTCTCCCGAATATATATTAAAACAAAAGGTTGAAAAGGCCTTTTGTGCATGCACTTCAAAATAAATAAAATAAAAAAAAAAAAACGTAAAAACTCATAACGGTCACAACTATATGCGATCAATAACACGTTATATTATGTGATGTATATTATAATATGTAAACGCCAAATGATCGTGCTCGACGCCACCTTGGTCGCGGCATAACGTGCGCGGCAGCTGTATGACGTGACGTAATTAATATACACACGTAAAACATAATATAATATCATGTTATAGAATAGGAGCGCGCCTGTAATATATTATATTCATGCGTGATACAATATATTAAATTGCAGTGGAAACCCGATTGATAAAACAAAAACGTCCAAAAGACCTGAGAGGTGTACGAATATAGACATAAAATACATCGGTAGTATAGAAAATTGTAATTATAATTTATGATTTAAGATTTATTTTTGAATACACTCTGCACATAAATAATATAACGGCAATGTAATTTAACCTAACCTATCTAGACAATATTAAGTAGAGTGGTAAACAGGTAACTAGGTTAAGTTATTTTATAAAATAGACGGAAAACTGATACTGATTAGTAATAAATCTTCAGTCGAATCAATTAAATTATGAAAAAAATGCCATATTCTTGTTTGAAAGAGTTGTATATTAATTATTAGTTCTGTGGACGGTCAAAATAGCTAGGTAAGCATTTAATAATCGATCCAATCATGGTTTGTATATTTTTTAAGGGGCGTCAAAATCTTAATTATATACGAGTATATTATAGATTGGAAAATCTATAGCAAATATACAAATACTACTAGTAAAATCTCAAACAAGCAAAATAGGTTCATATTATTTTATATATCAACTATAGAGTACAAAGCATACTATGTGTACATGTCATAATGATCTTATGTTTTTATTTTTATGGAGTAATAAGAAAAAAAATATCATAACAATACATTAAATTCACAAACCACGAATCCTGAACTTCTATTATATTTTTTTCGATGGTAAAGATTCGTATCGAAAAGTGACCTTGTATGTATAGGGATATGAGAAAAAAAATTCGTCTATGTGAACGGGAACAGGCTGTATTACACACATGTATTATTTATACGAAAAAACGAGACGATATGTAGAAACGCATCCGTCAAGGGCTATAATGTGCACGATGTATAAATGAATACATGGGCGCAGAGAAAGACGAAAGAAATATTAAACGAGTTGGCGACTGAAGCAGCGAAGATGTATGTAGAGGATAGGGCGACTATGACTATACGACGACGTTTCGTTAATGTTTGTAAGGCATACATAAATATCGTTCGGTTTCGGGGCCCCCGGAGGGTCAAAGCTGTCGAAATTCCAACGAACCGGTCCTAACAACACACGAGTCCAACCCAACCTCTACTATCTCCACTTGCAGCGTCCACACGCTTCACCACTACTATACACTCTGCTGTATCTTGTCTTCTTTCTTACTGTTATTTTCATATTATAATGTATAAACGAATATCGGGTTATGTATACGCGTCTCCATCGTCTTTTTCTACATATTATTACTACTCCTTGACATGTACAATATTATTATAGAGTCTCGTCTATCGTGTACATATTGTGCTGCACACCGCGCGGGTCTGGGACGATGCGGTTCGATTAGAATTTCTTCGAGAAAACCGGTTGACCAACTTATACACTATACACTCACACACACACATACACACACATACATATAACAGCTCGGCACCGGTACAGAGTTTGTTGAACTTGGCCCAACCCGCATTTTTAATTTTACCGCCACCACTGCCACCATCACCCTTTCCCTGCTCAGTCAGTCAGTCAGGTTTGACTAAATAACTATACGAATATAATATATACATATAATAAACGTTATACACTTAGCATATTATATACAAGTGTGGCAAGTATAATACAGGTATGTATATTATATTTGTGACGTGCAGCGTTTAATTATTTTCGATGCGCTCAGGAGGTCTGCCGCCGATTTACTGCACGCAGCGTTAATCTCGAGACGACGACGGGTGAAATAAAATAATCCAGAGAAATGCTCTCGTTCGAAAATTCACGATTTAGAGAGAAATTCATACAATGAATCATTTTTACTTCATTATTATTATTATGTTTATCTATTTTGTTTATATTTCCCGTCGTTTTTTTTCTTGTTTATTATATAAGGATATCGTGTAATATCCATAATGTATTGACTATTGTAACACAATTGTACGAATATATATTACTGGATACCAAAAAATGCAGTTGACTATCGCGTTGCACTCTTTATCGCCGTTTTTCATAGTAGGGCTGCACCATTAATTACATGTTTAGTGCGTTTGCAGCAGTAAAATTATAATATGTTATTGTATATGTACTCGTATATTATATATTTGTATATTATAAATAAACTTTTATATACGGACAGACAAGGTAATAATAATCATAATCGATAATAACTTCCAGTAATTTTTTTTTTTAAACGCTTATACAGTATTATAAAATAAAATATAATATGTATTCTGCTAAACTTCATTTTCTTGGTTACAAACACAACCATATAGATAAAAGTATCTACGTCGTAAGATTAATACCACACCGTAACTTAAATTAAATGCTTATTTGTACGTTTTAATTGTGAGAAAAGAGACGTATAATATTGCACTCACGTTGTTATTGCTATAGTGGTTCGTATGACTTGCATTTTAAACGTATATAATAATATATTATAATATATTATTTTAATGATGACCGTGGTATATTATGCGCACATATAAACCCGCCTACCTCCCTGCAATAGACGAACGGAATTGCGGAACGCTATAACTATCCGAAGATGAAAATCCAATTATAATATATGACAATAATGATGATAACTGTTTAAGATTTTTGTAAAATATCATCTCGCAATAGCTAATAATAATAAAAAATACGTATAATAATACGATAAAAAACGAACATCATTTTTTGTTGACGACGTAAGTTAAATCCGTAAAACGCCCTTTTTATATAATAATAATAACAATAATAAAATATTGCTGTACAGGTAGAAATGATTATACCAATTATCAACCCTTAATAAACGCGTACCTGCAACTAATATACGGTATTTTTTTTGTCCGACTGCGACAACGTTCGATCAATGCATTACATAGCAGCACAACAATGATAATATAACAATAGTGAATATAATAGAAGTTATATTTTTTCAGTGGATCGGATACTAAACGACGGGCCCTTAGAAAGATGAGGGGAAGCATAAGATTTTTAATGTCTTTGAAAATGTTTATTATCATTACATACCTACTCGAACTACTCATAATACCTACTTAGTACTTCTAGTATATTCTATTATACGTTATCGTTATTTTATACTAACTCAATGATTTATCTACAGTGTCAATATCAGGAGATCGTGCGTTGTATGTCTGTAGTTTCTCGATTTTTAAAAATAAATTAGTAGGTATAAGAAAAAAATATATTTACGATTAGACAGAATTAATAATAACATAACTTATATTACGCTATAATAATAAAATATTATGATGTAATAACTGAGCAAATTTTTCTGTTTGATAGATTTAATATTGCAATAGGTTATTGTAAGTTTAATCCTACTTAAGATATATTTAACAGTAAATGGTCTAAACGTTGTGTGATAATGAAAAACCAAAGTAATCCCATTAAAAATATAAATCGTTGATAAAATATACTACCATAGATTAAATCTATCTACCAATTTTCATTAGGAGATTCTTATTTTTAGTTAACAATAAACAATGAAATAGTAATGTTTAAATAAATTTAAAATTTAAAAATACACATTCAAATTTGAACTTTGAAGAGACAGTGAAAACTTTAATGTTCAGATTATAAATTAAACTTAAAAAAGAAATTATACAGACATTATAATGATAAAAAAAAAAAATATTCATTGTTTTTACTGAATTATAATAAAATTGCTAAACTTTACATATTAAGTATTAGATATGCTATCTAACTATTTATTACTTACAAATTGTTGTTTACATATAAAATACGATTATAAAAATATATAAATTACAACTATACAGTGTACAGATGAAACACATAATTGAACTAGTCCAGTGTCGGTCTGTCTGCCTACGTAGGTACCTGATTAACCAACATTCACCAGGAATTTCCTAATCTTCTTGAAAACTGTCTACTATTCTGCGTTCATACTTACTAAATCTCAGTATTTATATTTATTCATTATACTTTCAATATATGTATATAATATAGATTGACTGTGGAGTGATGCTTCGTGGCGTATGAAACATTTTGACCCACACCTGCAGTATAGCATACATAGCAGTATACGAATACGCTGGCGTGAATGATATTTTAAACGTGCTTATATTATACATCATTCCTAAGGTACCGCTGCAATATTGCGTTCACAATGCAACACAAGGCCGCAACAGTGTAAAACTTTAAATGTACTAAGAAGTATATATACCTATATACGACGACGCTCCTAGTGCAGACTCGTACCGTCTTGATATTACTGGGCCGAAGTCTTTATGTAATACTGCACAAACACTGTATAATGTATAATATAGGTTAATTATATGCACACGCATGTATGCCTAACCCATATATAAATAATACATATCACATGTACAACATGTGCAAAATGGCGGCTAATATTGTGTATGTATATTTCATGTGTGCGTGCGTTTATATACAGAGCGATCCGCACGCCAATATTTATTTTAAAGAAATAAAACGGATGTACTTGAGCATAGTGCCTCACTTTTTTTTATTAAGTATTGGTATTTTTTTATTTATTTTACAACTTGAATGTGCAGTATTACGACATATAGACTCATAGTAAACGTTCTGTGTACATTCGATACACGCGTTTTGTTATGCAGCGGATATTATGCAATACACTGCAACGAGTCCCGTTCGTATTGTATGCAAATCGCACGTGCTGTATATAACACACACACACACACACATATTTATATAGGTTTATACGGTATAACTATAATACATACACAGTAAATAAGTAAATATGCATTGGTCGTACGACGGACTTTCCGCTGTGGCTGCATGCAGGGGTGCGCCGATGAAACGTTGGTCTATAACATGACTTAACAATGAATGCCTGAAACGCGGGGTAGAAAAACAAATAGTATAAACGAACTGCAAAAATGGATGGACGGGAGCCATCATTGTTATCATCATAATATTATATACATATATGCGTGCATAAAATAAATGTAGTGTGCGTGTGCATATGCGTATAATATAATTATAATAATACTATATGTAAAACCATCATCGTGCGTGAGCTTGTCCTCGGCATAAATAAATATGCGTGATTCGGAATACGCAAATAAGTTTAATCGAATACATTTATAGCTTGCTTCCCGATATATTCAGTGAAACCTATACAGTAACTTACAAGAAAATCGAATGTTCTATAAAAAAAAAAAAAACTCGAGCACTTTATTTTTTAATTTTTAATTAATATTAATTTATATTGTAGTGTGAAAGTTGTAGATAAATATATACAATGTTTGATCTCAAAAACTATTTTTTCGGTTTATTTTCAATTCTTTTTCCAATTTTTTGGAAATGTTGATTATGAAGACCACATATACCTAATTATGCTAAATATGAATAATGAATATACATGAATTAATAAAATCAGACATTTTCATATTTTACACATTTTATGTGACAATTAATGAATACATCACGTATACTCACCACTTTGAACTCGTATTCCATTACAATTGTATATTTCCAGCAATTGTTGGATGTGACTACATTTTTCCCGCTGAAATTTCTAAAAATCAAATGAAACCATAATTAAAAGAAATAGCGTTCAGAAAATGCATTACTTATAGATACATAAGGTTGCTATTTTTGATTTTTGTATCGATTGTAAGTTATAACTTAAAACCAATATATCTTTACTGTAGATCAATAATGGTAACTACTGCAGTGTACGGAGTACAAACTCATTAGAATGAAACACGATGTAGTTAAACGCTGCGTCACCTCTGATACACTGCAGATAGATTTATTCTATATACATTAGAAACTACCCAACCACCACTGAAGAAATAGCTCTGAGAGAATATACGCTATTTAATTATAAATAACAATTTTTAGAAATTTAATGTTAAACCTTATACAAAACATTTAAATTAATTGTAGGAAAAAAAATAGGATATTATAGTCTAGCAGTAGGGACATAATAATTAGCTTATATACCTACTTAAATTGATAGAAATATTAAAACTTTGTAGATCAATTTAACAAGGAATAATAGCATAATGTATTTACATGCATATGTACGTACAAAATAAATATACATATTTTAACCAATGAAAATACTTCAATATCAATATTATTCTAATAACCTAAATTTATAGACTACTAAATGGTAGAATTATTACATGAATAATTTGGCGATAGAATGGTAAATAATATTAAAAAGTTAGATAGGTGGGCACTGTAATGAGTGTTGAATTCAATGATTTATCATTGTATTCAAAAATCGATTCGGAACAGAAACGTCTACAACCTATATCACTAAATATATTTTATGATATGTTATAATTTGTAAAATACATATTAAAATCATTTATTTTATTATTATTGTTTATTAGTATTTAAACATTATAATAATATTTTGAATTAATAATATCTTACTATAAAACATATTACAAAATATTATTTAAAAATTAATTAGGTAATATAATATTTTAAAAATATAATTGCTTATATAGAAAAATTCATAATGTATATAAAAGTTTTAAATCTCCACTAATAATTTATTTTAGTCATAAGGAAATAATTAATATTTTATAGTTCATTATTAAATATAAGTACGTAATTTCATCCAAATTAATATAAATTACAAATATCTATAAAAAAAATAATTTCATTTGTATACTTTTAAGATTTTGAACTTCAAATTCATATATGAGATAAAAGTGTGCTATGTATTATTATTTTTTACCCATTCATAAATATTGATAGATATTATTTATGGGGAATAAAATTAAAAATTTAAAATGTCTACATAAAAATTAAACAATGTATAAAAAATGATAATTTAAATACTAGGTAAAAAATTCAAGTTTCTAAAGTAATTAATTTTTTTTAAACTGAATTTGTGTAAAAATTCTTATTTTTCATTTATTTTTTCCGATTATTTTAAAAAATAATAAGAATTTTAACTTGTTCATAATATAAACTATATCTAACCGGTAACCTAAAATCTCTCTCAAAGTGGAAAACCAAAGAATTTTATTAACTGTGTATGGTGGTGTACATAGACACACACACACACAAAATACAAGAACACATATCATTGTAAAGTCAATACAATCAATTTATTATTTAGCTCTAAATCTATATAAATAAATAAACAACAATAATAATATTATCCGAACTAAACTAACAAAAACCAACGAAACATTAAACGAAAACATTATTGTTGTATTCAGGCGAAATTACGTTAAAAATTAAAAAATTAAATTTTATTGAGGGTTTGAATTTTTAGAGATGGTAACCTCCATATTATAACCTAACCCATCTTAGCTGCTACTATGATTCTTAACAATATTTTTATATTATTTTAGTATAAAACGTCAAAGCTGATATTTTTTTGGACACAAAAAAAAATGGATAATATAACCCAATTCAAGTATTACATACGAGTGTAAGTATATATAATATACATCATTAGATTCAAGTTTCGGTTCTTGTCAACGTTTTCCGGATTTACCACGTAGATATCGACTATACATGAATAATATATTTAGGAGTATATAACGCTCTCGCTATCAGTAGCTAATAAAGTGGCGTCAGGCTAATCACAAAATTATATTATATTTTACGAGTGTCGCAAGAATGACCACAACACTCTATTAGTTATTTATATTATTAACTTAAATTCAAGTTGGTACAATCTAGATGATAATGTTGCTGTATAAAAATATTTTAAATGTAAACTTTCTGAAAACATTTGAAATACTTTATCTAAGAAATCAATAATAAAATATGTAAACAGTGTGATTGAATAAAAAAAGTATATTTTTAAAATACTTTTTTTTTTTTCAAGAGGGGAACGGCTTTTTAAAAGGTAAAAGAGTTTTGATTTATTTTTATCCAACTTTCTTGTATTATAAATAATAAAAATTTCGAATTTTTAACATCAAATATTTTATAACAAAATAAAATACTTTAAATGGCATGTTTCTAGTAAGTACTTAATAAAAATTATAAAAAGATATGATTTATTTCTTTGAATTGTCTAGTCTAGTTATAGATTATTATATAAATGTATAAAAATATAAAAATTTAAATTATAATTTATATCCATTGTATAATCTCATTGTTCAATAGATATTATTAAAAATAAAATTTAGACGCTATTTAGAACAGCAATATCAGTGTTTATATTATGTAAAAATTATCTTCTTAAAATGCATTCAATCTGTTTACTAAGTTCGTAATGAAAATGAAACATAATTAAATAAACGGGAATCAAATGATATTTGATTCAAACAGTGAATACAAATCCTCTGTTTGTTTGTACAACAAACACTTAGAACAAAATAAAAATAAATACGAGTAATCTAGTTATTTGTTTGTCGTTGAATAATATTTTTATGATATAGGAACGCTTATCATTTAATCAGGAAAGAAACAGTTGATAACCTTTTTTTTTGCTTTTTCGAAGTAAAACTTATATGTTTGGTGCAAAAAATAAAATTTAGTGTGAAGCGCAGAGGGGGGCACTTAGCTGGTTGGTTAGATTATCTGATGACCTTTTTTACTTTGCTTTTTTACATTTAGTAAAATGTACACTTTGGCATAAGAAATGGAATTTAGTTAGAAGCCCAAGGGGGGAGGCAAGTGCTTTCTGTCCCACCCTTGTTACGCCAATGGGAACGCTTGATCTAATATTGTTTCAATTTACGTGGATATCGAAAGTCTGATAATAAAATTTAAAAACAATCGTTTCACACTATACAGAATACATACATAAAAAAGTAATGATAATAAAATGAGTAATAAGAATTTTTGAATAAGTATTGTTATCATCAGGGCATAAAAAAACGAAAGAAAAGAAAAAAACAAATTTGAAGATATAGTTAGGTATATATACATATCTATTTTATTTAACAGTGTGTCTAATTTTTCGGGAGTAAGGTAAAGGCACACAAGAATAATATGAAGAAAGACGCACAGACCTCAATGACAGACGTTCGCATGTTTTTTTAATCATCCATAAATTAATACTATTAATAGGTGTATTTATATTGTAACTACAGATCTTGGCACATATTTCCAACAAAAATCACATTTTTTTTTTTATTATTTTCTTCTTACTTTCTCATTCTCTCTTTCTTCTCGACGTGTAGGTACATGACGTGCAAATATACAAATATATATATATATAACTATGCAAGTTGTTAAAAACGCATTAAACGTTCAAGTCGTGATGTCCATCGAGTGCTTAAATATATACATTTAATACGCATGTATAGTGTATACATAATGTACTATGTAGTATAAGAGTTTTGCGCTTTACAAAACGTCTATATTTATGTATACGATTATTTTGGAGATTAATATAAAAATTATCTTCAGCATATCGATGTACATTTAAAATAATGTGGCTAATATCGTCTAATACAATGCTTTGATACACAAGACGTCGACAAAACGCATAATAATGTTATATGTTTAGAAAATCTAGACCATGATGTGATGTACGACAAAAAAATGTATGTTTAGGACTTATAACTATGTAGTACCTACTTACAGGGACGTACATAGGGGGATGTTTTGGGTGTTCAAACACCCCCCCTCCTCGAAATATTTGTTTTTTTATAGGGTTATTTATTTATTTAATTTTAATGTAAATTGTTATATTATACTTTTAAACAGGTATAATATTACATTATGTTTGTAAAAAATCGGCTAAAACAAAATAAAAATTTAATACTAACAAATTAAAATTTTAATTTAATTTGAAAAAAATACTAAAACAGGATTTAAAAATAAAATAAAATTATACCTATTGTGTATTTCCTATATTCATTTTAAAAAAAAGTTCTACTTTCACTAACTGATTTTCAAAAACACCCCCCAAAAATTTTTACTGTGTACGTCCCTGCCTACTCAAGACTTATCAATAAATTTATAAGCACTAAAATTGGCGTTGAAAATATAACGAACATTTTTGTTTTTATGATAAAAATCGTCGAATGTAAGTATACCCAAACTGTGAACAGTGTGAACATTTAAAAGTAGCTTTAAGCGTGTAAATACAATGTCTTAAAAAAAAAATTATATAGAATAGATACTTACTTAGAGTTATATTTAGTAGTATATTTTTATACTTGAATAACCTAAGTAGATTGTATATAGATATTAGAAGCAGTTTTAACCTATAGAAAGAAACAAATATTATATTAGTTTATATGCGATTTATTGACAAATATTCAAAATATTTAAAATAGTTATAAACAAATTATAAACCTTTATAACATAAAAATGTTTGTAATTTAAGGTCTCTAGTAACGCGTTGATAATTTTTTCAGTACAATTTATTTATTTGATATGAAATGACATAGCTCCCTATAACGACTAGTGTGTTAATAGATTCTTTTCAAATTTGGCGCCGAAGCGGCATTCTTTTATACATATAAATATATCTACATACCTTTATATTATATAGTTTGGCTAATGACGGTAAATTAAATAGTCATCAAACCGTAATGTAGAGTAGGTATAGAGTATAGAGTATAATAATTCAATTTT